GGTATTTTGTCATATCTTGCCCTGTCCGACTTCTCCCTTCATCCACTTTTCGGTTGTCTGTCCCCCAGGGAGGAGGTCACACAATCTGGAGTTCTTAACACTATACTGTCTCTTTTAAAAATAAGAAAAGGGGACACTTCCTAACTATATTGTTAACAGAACCCAACAATGAAGACATGAAACTGAAATAGTGCACATTCTCCCCTACCCGCCACCAGTATCAGGAAAACAAGTTATACCTGTTATCTACTAGTCAACATATTTTGGAAGTTCTTGTTACTGAATAAATGGCATATGGATTGGAAATTGAGATAAATTAATCATTATTATACAGCTAAAGAATAGAGAATTAAGCTTAAAACACAATAAAACTAGAAATAATTTAGCAAAGTAACTGGACTAAGATAAATAAAAGATATTTTTCCTTGTATTATCCCTCCATGCAAGAGAGTAAGTCACAGCATTTTCTCTGCGCACCTACCTCAGGCACTGATGGTGGCCACTGCATGGAGTCAATGCTGACTCCCACCGACCTGACTCAGGATTGTGAGGCTGTAAGCTTTACAGGAGCAGACAGCTCTATCTTTTTCCCCATGTAAGTGTGAATTGCTCACCTTGAGGTTGGGGTAAGATAGGTATGAACAGCGGTTCCAACCCTCCAAAGGGTTAGTGTGGTACGGGGTGAACGGACCAGAAGAATAAAGTTACAATATCCAATAGGCCGGTGGGGTCCTGCTGAAGTTGTGACCAGCAGTCATGGCCACAGCAGAGCTAGAGGGACAGATTCAAGTGGGGACTCATTTGGGGATGGGGATGGGGTTGGGCTCTCCTCCCTGGGATCTGAGAGCACCCGGGTACAACACTTAAACCTAGAAATAAGAATCCTATTTGGACAACTTTCTAAGGAAAATGAAAACCAACACTAAAAACAGAGACGAAAAGAAATTTATTTTAAAATACATACTCACAAATGGCAAATTTCTAGTTGTTATTTTTAGGTTAACAATATTCTTTCAAACTTTGTTTAGAGTGCCTCTTCCAAAATTTTACCTCACTTCTTGAGCTTAAGTTTTCTCACTTCTCCACTGTCTGTTAAACGAGGTTATAAAAGTCTTCCCCACCATGTTATCAGCCTGACACAGCTTGTTAGGGTTAAATTGTGTCCTCCTAAAATTTATATTGTTAATTCCTGAGGCTATAATCCCATTTGGGAAAGGGTAATTTATCTCCTCGATCTTGGCCACACTGCCAATCCTGTCCTCTAGAGACAAAGTTTGGGGGTCAGGAAGAGCAGGGACTGAGGACCAGGGATAAAGGTATCTCAGCACTGGGGCTCCAACTATTAAGGCTGGGAGGGAAAAGATGTTCCAGTGAATGTCAGATAGGAGATTATAAGGGGAATGGAGGGCAGAGGAGAGAAGGGAGAGGGCAGAAGGAATGAGGAATCTTTTTTTTTTAAATCATTTTATTGGGGGCTTGTACAACTCATCACAATCCATACATCCATCATGTCATGCACATTTGTTGCCATCATCATTCTCAAAACATTTGCTTTCTACTTGAGCCCTTGGCATCGGCTCATTTTTCCCCTCTCTCTCCCTGCTCCTGCCTCCCTAGGAATGAGGAATATTGAGATGATTTCCTCTCCCCTCCCCTCATTCCTTCTGCCTTTGGAGAATGAGGGAAAATCCAGAAGATATTTATAATCTCTCATGTGGAAAGTCAGGTGGCAGTTGCAGATAATATAGGACTAGATGATAAACAAATTGGTAAACCACCCCTGCTCAACCAGATTAGTTGTGCCCTATTGTCTTGTCATAAATGTCATCACTGTGAATTCCAAGCATTCTGCATTCCAATTCCATGAATGCTTCAGGTGGAATTGTCAACTATCTTTACTATGGTCACGGGTTTTTTTCCCACTGAACTTTTAACTCTGCTCTTAACCTTGTTTATTGAGAAAGTAGGATACACTCGGCTAGCTCGGACCTGGGGTCAGTGTGCAGAGCAGAGTCCCTATTGGTAGTATGTGCTCGCCCTCTCCCAGTAACTACACACACACTTGGGCACAGGCAGATTGACTATTTCTTTGAGGCTGAAGCAACAGTAGTGAGACTCACAGGGAGAAGCCATCAAAGGAGCATTTTTATGTGATATCCTTTGACGTGATGGCATTTCCATCTTTAGACCCTTCTAGGAGCTCTGGTGGCAGAGTGCTTAAGTGTTGGGCTGCTAACCACAAGGTCAGCAGTTTGAAATCACCAGTCCCTCCAAGGGAGAAAGAGGAGTTACATATATTCAATAATAGTTTTTTGGGTAAATCTTGAAAGAAAAAAAAAAGAGTTACAATCTGGGAAGCCCAGAAGAACAGTTCTACCCTGTCCAATAGGCAGCTATGAGTTGGAGACAACTCGATGTCAATTAGTTTTCAGGTTTGTTTTTTTTTAATTGGCAGCTCTTACAGATACCATAACATTCCATAGTTCAATCACATCAAGCAGTGTTGTACAATTGCTAACACAATCCGTTTCAAAACACTTTCTTTCTTCTTGAACTCCTTGATATCAGCTCCCCTTGATCCCCTCCCTCCTGCAATTAGTTTATTTAGACTAGGTGTGTGTGTGTGGCAGAGAGATCATACCCACTGAGAAGTAAACTTAAAAATATATATATTTAACAATTAGCACTCTATATGTTATATGTCAATATAACATATCTTTATATGCTAAAAGAATCTACAATAAGTTGATATCAAAGTATAGAAATATACAACGAGAATAATTTGCAGGACAATACAGTTGCACACCAGCTAACTGAGAGCACCGAGGTCAAACCAACACAAGTTTGAGATCAGCAGCAGCAATTGCAAAAAGAAAGTCTTTCACTGATGAGCTGGAGCTTGGAAGTTGTGAGGGACACAGATTAGCAAACATAAAAAGAAAAGTTTTCTATGCATGGAAAGCAATTAGAGAACATTAGACTACAATAAGTTTTATAAAGAGAATGGGAGAGCCACAGTCAAGAGATAGCAAAGAATGAATGAGCCTTGAGAAAGACTTTAAAACAGGGAGGATGAAATAGAATATGGATTTCTGTCCTTGACAAGCACACAATCTGATTATGGGATATACCTAAGAAACAAAATTAAAAAGTTAAAATAAACAAACTTACAAGTAAATGGAATGTGTGGTCCTGACTTTCCCAAGAGGGGGAAGGAGTGAACTAAATGACTCCCATTTTCTCACCCTAGTAACCCAATGGAAAACATTTTGGGAGAGACCCACTTTCAACTAGTGGTTCTAAGACCAAGGGATCATCCTTCTTATAAAGAAAACCAAACGCATTACCCAATGGCTATTGTCCAGTTGATTCTCACAGTGACCCTACAGGACAGAGCAGACCTGCCCCACAGGTTTCTGAGGCTATGAATCTTCATAAAGGCAGATGGTTTCATCCTTCTCCAACAGGGTGACTGGTAGATTAGAACCACTGGCCTTTGGGTTAGCAGTCCAATACTTAACACACGGTGCCACTAGGGCTCTTTTCTTAGGAATCAAGCTTAACTCCAATCAAAGTGCCTTGCTCTCTGCCTTGGAAAACCAGCTTTAAGAAAGTGACTGAGACAAAGCCAAGTGCTTTTCTCCCGTGTGAGTTCGTTGGTGGTGATTGAAAGTGGACCGTTGACTAAAGGCTCTCCCACACTCAGTACATTCATAGGGTTTCTCTCCAGTGTGAACCCTCTGGTGCACAATAAGCTGTGAGCTGTCACTAAATGCTTTTCCACAGTCATTGCACTTATAGGGCTTCTCCCCAGTATGGGTTCTCTGATGAACCATAAGGCTAGAGCTGTAACTGAAGACCTTGCCACATTGGTGGCATTCATAGGGCTTCTCGCCAGTATGAATTCTCTGGTGTATAAGAAGATGTGAGTTTTGATTGAAGGATTTCCCACACTCTTTGCATTTGTAGGGCTTCTCACCGGTGTGAAGTCTCTGATGTCGAATGAGACATTTACTCAGACTGAAAGCTTTTCCACACTCACTACATTCAAAAGGTTTCTCTCCGGTATGCATGCGCTCATGGTCAACCAGTTGAGAGTTCTGATGAAAGGCTTTCCCGCACCTGCTACATTTATATGGTTTTTCACCAGCGTGGAGGCTCTGATGTCGAATGAGACATTTACTCCGACTGAAGGCTTTGCCACATTCATTACACTCATAAGGCTTTTCTCCAGTGTGGATTCTCTGATGATCGCTAAGAGTCCTATTGGAACAGAAAGCTTTCCCGCATTCGATACACTTGTGAGGTTTCTCCCCTGTGTGAATTACCTGATGATGGACAAGACTTTTAATGTAAGTGAAGGTCTCCCCACATTTGTTGCATTTGTAAGGTTTCTCCTCAGTATGGGTTCTCTGGTGGTCAATGAGTTGGGGACTCTGAGGGATGGCTTTTGCATATTCATTACACTTAGACTGTCTCTCTGCATTATGTAGTCTCTGGTGTTGAAGGAGGTGGGAACTGTGCCGACAGGTTTTCCCACACTTGTTGCATTCATAAGACTTCTCCCCCGTGTGGATTCTAAGATGAACAATGAGCTGAGAGGTCTGCCTAAAGGTCTCACCACATTCATTACACTCATACGGTTTCTCTCCAGCATGGATTCTCTGATGACCAATGAGGTGTGAGCTTCTATCGAAAGCTTTGCCACATTCATCACACTGACAGAGTTTCTGTCCTTTCAAAACTCCTTCATGTTCAGCAACACGGAAAGACAGATTATAATGTTCCCCTAGCTCCTTAAGTCCCTCACATCTGGCTTTTGTGGGATCTTTTTTAACTTCCTCTGTTACTTCTAAGAAATTGCTTTGTAGTCTGCCCCTTTCTTCACTTGAGGGCTGCCCTTTCAGGTTCCCCAAGTTATCTTCACTGGCATCTCCAGCCTCTGGCGTCCCAGGAACGGTTCCATGGAGTCCTTCTGATGTCCTGTCAGCTGACCCTGAGCCTTTCAAAATGTCCTGCTTTGGAGCCAACTTTGAACTCTCCTTTCTGTTCTCACCTACTGGGAAAGAAAGAAGGAAATTACTTCCATTCATTATTCATCCTGTTGAGGAAGCAGAATGAAGAGAATCTATGTGCACGAAGAAAATTCCACTCTACAGATAAAGCATGAGGTGACACCTCAAGAACCAGACAGGAAGCAGCTCACTGTCTTCTTCATGCAGGAAAACAAGGAAACAAACAGAAACAAGAGAAGCTGGTCAGTGGGAGAAGAGCCAGCACAGACAGTCGGCTGTTGAGCAGCAGAGTCAAATATAAGGGCATTGGTGAGGCCAAAAGTCCCGAGTGTAAAGTATGGTGTGACCCCACAGAGCTCATTTAAACACCACCTCTCCTCAGTAAAGTAATGAACTCTAAGGTCCTTAACAATCATGGCATAATGTGGTTCCATGGTTCTCAGAAAGATGCTTAGGAAAGTAAGGAGTAGCAAACATCTCATCAGTGCAAAGATGGGAGCTGATGGGAGAGTTATGGGGATGCAATTAGGAAAGAAGTACACACGAAGGAGTGATTCTGGTGTGAGACGGCAGTAACAAGATTTGGAAAAGCTATTGGTTCAGAAAATAAGAAATGGCAAATACTGGGAAATAGTGAGGGTGTAAAAGTAGAGCTGTCCCTTGACCCCAGAGCACTGGATTGACAGGGGCCAGAACTGTACTGACCTCTTACAAAAACTAAGAAAGGCACAACAACTTAAAATACGATCAAAAGTTATATTTGGGATCGTGATTCTCTACAACAATATGGAAACCAAACAGTTGAACATTGGTTTTGAATTCTAGAGACTGGATTCAAAAGCTGGGAGAAGAAAGAGTAGTACTCATGGTCACTCACAGTTAAACATTAAAACGTTGGAGCTTCTCGATCACATCTTAACCAGGGCCACAGTCACTGTGACATTTTAGCTTCGTGACATTGGAGATGTCTGAGCCCATCCTCTCCAGAGTTGGGCACTGCACTAAATTTGTCAGTGGTAGGACCTGCCCCGGTGACAGTCCCTTCTCAGGAAACTGTCCTGTCCCAGCATTTGCTGCAGGAGAAGCTTAGGCAACCATGATTTGGGATAAGTGACCGTACTCATCCCATGATGGATAGGTGATTGAGGCAGGGCAAGGCACTAGACCCAAGTGTAGCTTATCATAAGCTAGTCAACTGTTTCTGCTGTGGTCTGGGTCCAAAGCTCTTCCCAGATAGAGATGGTACTTAATGACTGAACCAATTGGAGTCTCTGTGTAAGGAAATTCTGAACCAGGAGTGGGGATTTTAAAAAGGATAGTTTTGATCAGGAGCTGAAGCTGAAATGATACATGGAGAGAAGTCTAGTCATTAGGAGCCTCACAGAAGACATTATGAGGAAACAGAGACTACAATTCAGATGGAGCCACGTGAGTGGCAAGCAGTAAAGAACCTGGGTACTAAAAGAAAGACACCCCTAAACCAAGCCAAACCAAGCTCCCTGCCGTCGAGTCGATGCTGCCTCACAGTGACCCTCTAGGACAGGATAGAACTGCTCCCATGAGGTCCTGGGACTGTAACCGTTCACAGGCGCAGAAAGCTCCAACTTGCTCCCATGAAGGAGAAAGAAAACAGGTCTGTGCTGGGGCAGTTGAGTTGTTTTCATAGTGGAACACTGCACGGATATGGAGGTTCACTTGCTTTTGTTGCTGAGGGGCCTGAGCTGCCCTGGCACAAGGCCCTCATGCCACACAGGGGTCTCACTGATTGGCTTGCTCTGAGTTCTCATTCCTTGAGACCTCGTGATATGTAGCTTGTGGCTTACAATAACTTGTGGGACAGTTCCTTACAACTAACCAAACCTTGACCACACCTCCCTCAGCCAATCAGTAATCATGAAGCCAGGAGAAGGCAGGCTCACTAGTGAAGCGGGGTGATAGACTCATGCTGACCCTACAGACAGGGTAGAACTGCCCCTGGGGGTTCTGGGGCTGTAGCCCTCTACAGGAGTAGAGAGCCTTGTCTTTTGAGGAGTGGCTAGTGGTTTCAAACTGCTCACCTGGGCTCAGCAGCCCAACATGCAGCCCCCTACACCACCCAGGCTCCCTCGAGCCGGGGGACAGGCACCATGTTCTCTTTCTTTGCATATGTGTTACAAAATAAAAAGTCAGAAGGACCAACAACCACAAAAAGAATATCACACACACAAACAGAAGAATGCAGACTAAGTTGCTGGCGGACAGATTCATTACCCAGTGAGGCCACGCTGCAGTAATTTTCCATCACTGTGTTCCAGTTCAGAGCTCTCTGACTAAGTGCAGGGCCTTTCCACTTCGTATTAGGCGTATGGTCTTCATCGGCTAGGGACTCCTGGAATGACAGGCTTCCGTTGCTCAGGAACATTCCCACCAGGAAGGGCAGAGCCATCAGGGGCACAGAGGGCAAAGAAAGTGACAGAGGTAGAGAAACTGGGAGACAGCTAAAAGGACAAACTCGTGGCGAGTTAGAGTCCATGAACTCACCAGAGACCCAGCACAGGAAGCAACAGAAAGCCAAGAGGGAGTCTCAGAATGGACCGAGCCCTGGGTTTCAGATGCAGCCATCCCTGGGGACTCAGGAAGGGCAGCAAGAACCCCGCTCACCTGGGGCCTGTCCATCCGCAGCAGAGGTGCCACTGGTTCGACTCCCGAGTCCCCCACCTGGGGAGGAGCAGGAACTAAGGAAGCAAGTGGAGCTGAAGGAGGAAAGAAAGCTGTGAGTGGGGGAAGCCCAGTCCCACACAGAATTTCTCCCCAAAGAGTGGATTAGAGAGAGACCGGCCGGGCAGCTTCCCATACACTCTACTCCTTCTTCCAGAAAGGCGTTACGCTAAGCACACTCGGACTTTTCCCTGTGAATGTGCTCCTTCTGATCCTCACTCTCCTCAGCCTCTCCGAAGGAAGTTATACTTCTGACCACATCCTCTCACCCATGGTGTCCTAGGCACCAGCAAGCCTGACTTTGCCCTCACATCTCTGCTTCCCCCTCAACCTCCCCACCCCCAGTTTGGCTTCTTGCTCCTGCTCTCAATGCAGAGGCTCCTTGAAGCTCAGCCCTTGATACTCCCCTTTTCTCCCAGGCAGCCTCCACCAGTTACACTGCTCACTGTCGCGCTCACGGGTCTCACCTCTCTCTCAAGACCCTGATCACACACATCCAGGCCCCAGGGGACGATTCCCTCGGGGCTCCTCCAACACCTGAAAGTCACTGTCTAAAGTAAAAGGCACGCTCTTACCATCTTCTTTTCCTGACTTCACACGGTTCGGCAATCGTTTGCTCCCCTCTCCCTTCCTCAAAAACAAACCCCACGGAGTTTTCCATCATAAAGCCTCTCATAGCTCTCTTTCTATTCCACCTGCCCAGCTCAGGTAGCAAATGACCCACACCTGTCACTGGGCACTAGCTCCCTGGCACCCTTGGCTTCCCTACACCAGTGTCCTATGAACAGGGAATGGCGGCAGTGCTGTCTGAGCTCTGCATCGAATTTTACACCAGGAAGAGAATCATTTTCCAGAGCCCCAAACTGGTTCCTAGGAAGCAGTTTTCTCCAGTCTTATTACCTTCCCTTCCTACGTCTCTGCCTGGCTCCATTAAGTCATGGCAATGGCCAAACAGAACTCACAGACCATACTCACAATTCGGGGGCTTATTAGAGAAGCATCAAGTTACAATGCAGGATCAGGTGCAAATCAGGATGCATTTCTTTAGTCAGGACAGCTTCTTGGCCATGTCCATAAGGAGACCACTCCCTAGCCCTCGGCCTCTCAGACCTCTTAGATTGGTACAGCCTTTGAACTGCTCAGGGAAGTGTTACAAAGCTCTTCAGCTCCACCAATAAAGGCCCAGAAAAACCTTACCCTATTGGCAAGTTCCTACCCAAATGCACTCAGCTCTCTTGCTAGAGGAGCCAGCCTAGCTCTTCCAAGTGTCCAGAGAGACCCCGCGCCACCAGCAAGCTCCCAGTCTGAGGCAACTCAGCTTTCTCAGTCCAGGGATTAGGAAGCCCATCGGGCCATCGCTTGTCAATCCCTTGGCTCTGCTGCCTCGGTGGCTGCCGCTTCTTACCATCTCTGGTATTACAGCTCTCTGTCTCTGGAATCTAGGAGCTTCTCAGTGCAGGCATCCTGGATCCACAAGACATAGTCGGTCCATTACTAGTTTTTTCTTGGTGGTAGAGAGGGCCCCCCCCTTTCTGCCCCATGGATAACTCACTTTAAGCCTCGTGGGATGGCAAAACTGACCGATCCCTTCATCAGAATTTCATATGCCTTATCTGCACTACTAGCCAGCTGTTCAGTCCCTTTGGTGGACCACAAGCACCTTACTGGCATAGTTCCAACCAATCATTTGATTGGGAGTTATAAAATCACAGTGAGCAAGGCCGAGTAAAAGTGATTCAACACACTGCATCTCTTCATTCAATCCATAAGGTTCGCTTGTGCCAGAATAGTCCTTCTGAAACAACAATTCTAAGACCTTGTCCCTGGCCTCTCAAAACCTTCCAACTTCAACTGCAAGGCCCTGAACAAGCTGACAATGGACTCCCAAATCATTGACCCCAGCTAAATGGGTCAACATTTTAATTTATATTCTCTGCTATGGGCATGCCTACCTCTTTTCTCCCCACTTCAAAATCCTCCCCCACTCTTCACAGTCCAAGCTTCCTGCTTTTCCTCAGGAAGCACCCCGACCTGCTCCAGTCCACATGGCTCACACTCACCTTTTATAGCTCCCACACTGCCCCCTTGTGTGGGACCAGTCTACCAACTGTCTGCTGAGAGACAGACATCACGCATGGACCCTAGGACAGTGGTTCTCAACCTGTGGGTCACGACCCCTTTGGGGGTCAAATGACCCTTTCACAGGGGTCGCCCAATTCATCACAGTAGCAAAATGACAGCGATGAAGTACCAACAAAAATAATGTTATGGTTGGGTTTGGTCACCACCACATGAGGAACTGTGTGAAAGGGTCGCGGCCTTAGGAAGGTTGAGAACCCCTGCTCTAGGAGGTCACCTCTGCTTACACGTCTGACTGTGTCTGACTGTCAACTAGATAACAGCTCTCTGAAAGCACTGGCTATATACGATATACCTTTGGTCCCCAAAAGTGTCTTTCTCTGACAGGTGCTCCACAAACACTTGTTTAATATGGGGGTGCATCAAAAGGTATTGCCATGAAAATCATAGAAACCCTTAACAAAAATATCAAAATGTGAAATTGTTGTTTCTTGGCATATCTTCCTTCTGAAGGTGGTATTTTCATTCCTCTAGCTCTTCCCTGGAGAATTCTGGACTCTTTGATTCATAGTACCTCAAAGTGGCAGTTTTGGTATCCCCAAAGAGACCCCAAATGTGTGCCTTTTCAATGCTCTTTGAGTTTGAGGGGCAAAAAAAGCTGTTTGAAGGGGCCTGATCAGGGCTGCAGGTGGACAGGGCCAAGTTTCCCCACAACATCCGGCCAACACAGTCCTCAGAGGAGGAGCAGAAGCACTGCTGTGATTTTAAATTCCCAGCCTTGTCTTCAGCTGTGCAGTTTTCAGGTTTCTTCAAGCTGCCACGATCATTCTGTGTCTTTAGAGAAGTTTCATCAAGACTGCCCGTGAGGGGCTCTCCTCAGTCACCTTCACCTTCTGTGCGGACCTATGGGCCTCGAATTTAAATGGCTCAGCAGATCTCCTCAGAAGGCACTGTTTCTATTGGACCTTGTTTCTGAAGGCACCCTAACAAGTGTGTGTATTACTGAGGGAATTTGTCTGCGGTCATCCACTAAATGCAGAGACCTGTTTAGTTAGAATAAACCCAGGGCTGATAAACGGGAGCCCTCACAGCAATCCTTGTTGGCTTACCCTGGTACATGAACACAAGCAAAAGGCCCTTGTCTGCTGGGTCACCCCAGGAAGGAAGACAGCCAGCAGGACAGTGAAGGATTCCAACCGCGTGGGAAAAGGGGGAATGCAAGCAAGGAAACCACCGGAGAGAAGGGCAGAAGGTGGGATCTGAGGTCAGAGTTGAAAGGGTGAGTACCGATGTGTCTGTTCTGGAGATGCTGTGGCCTGGGGTCCTGGGGCAGCTTGAGGTGGGCACCAGGGGCCGAGCCCCCACTGACCGGTAAGGTAGGAGGCAATTCCTCTGTTGCAGCCAGACCTGTTGTCTCCTTTAAACTCATGTCCTGTTCCTCCGAAGGGGCTGAACCCTAAAGACAAGGAAATACAGTCAGGTTCAAGAGAGCAGCCCTGAAGGTACTGAACACTAAACCTCCAAGAAGTCTCCCTGCTCCCAGAAGTCAGGGAAAAGAAGAACCAGAGTATCCTTCTGGGAGAAAAGATAATCCAAGACTCTGAAACTTCCAATCCTACGTGCTATCCCTCTGTGGACCCTCTTAGCAGGGGCTTGAGGGCCAGACTCTATAACCATTACCAATTTGTGTCAGGTCTTTAGGACCATGTAATTCAGTAGATTCCACAGGCTCTTGGCCTACAAAAAAGACAATGCTAAAGCAGAGCACACAGGGGACAGAATTATGCAAATTTTTTATCCATAACCAAACACCTTGAAGGACTGAAGACATAGGACCATAGTCTTGGGGAACATTCATTGGCATAACATAGTTCATAAATACAATGTTCTCCATCCTACTGTGGTGAGCTGGTGCTGGAGTCTTTTTTGGGGGGGCGGGGGGTGCTGGAGTCTTGAAAGTCTGAGTGGCCATATATCCATTGGTCTCTTCCCATCCAGGGCAAAGATGGGTGTACAAAATCAGAGGCTGAAGGAAATCATTCGTCCAAATAACCAATGAGCCACTCAAGTCAAACCTCCGCAAGCTGGAGATCAGAACCCTAGACAGTGCCTGGCTGTCACCACTGACCAACGCTGAATGGATCACAACAGAAGGCATTAGACAGGGAGGGAGAAAAACACAGAACATAATTTAACAACCATAAAACAGGTCAAACTTGTTGGGTCAAACCTGGAAGTGAACCCACTCCCTGAGATTACTTTTCAGCTAAACAAGAGGCAGGGCCTCAAAATGAACAATTCGCACCTGTGGCGTGGGGACAAACAAAACAAAAACACCTGTGTGGAGCAGGCTGCTCAGCACTTAGAGCCCCAAAGGGCAGCATTTACCCAAAAATAAAGCTCGGAAGGCAGACAGGGCAGGAAGGGAAGTGAATGGCAATGGGAACCCAAGGAGGAAGGCAGACAGGGCGGGGAAGGGAAGTGAGTGGCAATGGGAACCCAAGGAGGAAGGCAGGCAGGGCGGGA